ATTACTATCAAAGGAAAACAAAGCATGATAACCATCGTAAAAGTAAAAGTAAAATGCTAACAGTCTACACTGAAATTGATGAAAGCCATCCAGGAGACGTATGGTTGCTAGGACTTACGTAAGATGAATATTCTGACTTGAGCATTGAAGAGAAGCTCAATGCATTAGTGGCTTTGATTGATCTTCTTAGCGCTGGTTCTAGTATCCGAATGGAGGTAAACCGTTTCATCTGGCCAAGTTGACAGCCACTTCCCATTTCTTTCTTGCCTCTTCACCCCCAATAAAATTAAAATAAATAAATACACATAAAAGAAGAAAGATTGAAAAAGCTCCTTTTCTGCTCCCTTGTTTGGTATGTTGCTTACATGGTCACTATTTGTTTATGGATCTTTTTCTCTTTTCTTTTCCTTGATGACCCATGATCTGTTAGATGATTATTTTTGAAAAAATATTTACACCAAATATAAACTACTATTTAGAGGGTTTTAGGTATTCATTCTATTCTTGCTTAAATATTTCTTGCTCTGCTATGATGTTATGAATTTTTTTTAGTTCCATACCTGACAGTTTCTCATTTTAATAATTATTTTATTTTTCAGAATCCTGTTAAAGCCATTGTTGAGTTTATTCCCAGCATCCCTCACTATGGTTCTGGAGCAAAAATTAAGAGATCATCAATCCAACAGAATTTTCCTACGCCATCTTGGGTCTACGGTGGACAAAGGAGTGGTGGACAAGAACCACACACATCTTCAGACTCTCGCCTGGTTGGCTCATCGTCAATACAAAGTTTTTTGAAAAGAAGAAACATTCTACCAGTGGAAAAGATGCTAAACAAACTGAAGTAGGAGTTTATATACACCCAATGCAATCTATATTTTTGGGCTCTGATCGTAGGTACAATAGATATTGGCTTTTCTTGGGCCCTTGTAATGGATATGACCCTGGACATAGAAGGTTTTACTTTGAATCTTCTGAAGATGGTCATTGGGAAATCATAGACACCGAAGAGGTAACCCTCCTGACTTATCATATTGGATGTCCATTTCTTCGTTTGTTATACTATTGGTTAAATTTGGCTTCCCATTTCTTTATTCAGAATATGTCTTTTCAGTATAAAGTGAACACTTCATCCAAAAAAAAAGAAGCTTAACCTGAAAGAAAATTTGGAGTTCTTTTCAGTTTTCCTTCTGCAGACAATAAAGTGACTGGTCTCGTGTTGAGCACTTTTTAATAATTATCATTGTTTGTATCTTATCATGGTGCAGGCATTGCGGGCCCTATTGTCGTCTTGGATGACAGGGGTAAACGTGAAGCTCGTCTTATTGAATCCTTAGAGAAGCGGGAAACTTCATTATGCCAAGAAATCTCAAGCGGACACTTACCTGATGCAGAAATCAGGCACACGCAATCTGATTCACCTGAGATGAATGTAGTAAGAGAAGACAGTTGCTCTCCTGTTTCTGATGTTGACAACCTAATCTTGACAGTGGCCGTGAATGAATCTCCAACCTCATGCTGTGCTATAGTTCTTCATTCTGAGAAGAAGGGAGAAGAAAAAAGACAAATGTTGAGACGTCTTCAAGAATTTGATGTGTGGATATGGGTTTACTTTTACTTGAACCTTAATGCTGTAAAACACAAGAAGTGGTCTTATCTTAATTCACTTACCAGGTGTGAGAGTTGTCATGATCTGTACTGGAGAGATAAGAAGCATTGCAGGATTTTCCATACGACATTAGAGATTGATTTTGATCTAGAAAAAAAGTATGCCATTCATGTGGCTACGTGCAGAGAGAAAGGAGACAATAGTACTTTTCCAAATTTCAAAGTCCTACCCTCACAGTTGCAGTCGCTGAAAGCCGCAGTCCATGCAATTGTGGTGCATTTCATTTCATTGTTGCCTTTTGTCTAGCTACCTTACTTTCTTTATAAAACTAAATCATATATTACATTTTCATATGAAATTAAATAACACAGGCACCTGCCTAAATTCCATACATCCCTATTATATGACATAGTATGCATATGCATGCTCATCTTTCTTTTACCATCATTGTTTTGCAAGAACTGTTGGTCAGGGCACATAAAACTCATGCTTTAGTGTCTCATTAGATTTTTTTTTTTGGTTTCTTTATATGTTTTATTAGTTGTACTTAAATATTCATAAATGACAATGCTAACCCTTTTTACAAGAAATAAAATGGGTAATGAAATCTCCGCTCAATTTTTTGTGAAGATGATGGTGAATATAACTACTAGCTAGTAGATGATATGATTTACATTAAACTATGTAAGGGAACAAATTATCTACTGTTTGTTAACAAATTATGTAATTTTAAATGTTGGCTCGAGAGAAATCTCTTGCATCTTCACTTTCTTCAGTCGAAGATGTGAATATTATGTACAATTCATTTATATATGTAAAATATTTAAAAGGATGACAAACTTTATGCATTATTTTTATTTAATCATTGTCTATTTCTTTTCTTACTTTTTGTGCAGTCATTTATGCCTAAAGATGCTTTAGTGGGTGCTTGGACGAAGTATGCTCACAGGCTGTGGGTCAAACGGTTACGACGGACATCATCTTTGTCTGAGTTTTTGCAGGTAGTCTTCTTTTGCAATTACATGCTTAGATTTCTTGAAGTTGTGTGGTAAATTTTTATACTGAGACTATTTGTAAAATGGACCATCTCAAATCATGTTTGCAGGTAGTTGCTGGTTTTGTTGCAGCAATTAATGACTATTGGTTGAGTGAATGCCACCATATTGAACAAGGGGGTTGTACTGTTATTGAAGAAATCATAACATTCTTTCCCACAATGTCCAAACATCATCTGCACTTGCACTCTGGTTGGTGAAGTTGGATGAGTTCATTGCATCATTTTTGAAGAAGGTTCATTCTGAAAAGGGTCCGGGAAATGGGACCAGCTCAGGTAATATTCCTTCTTTATCTACAATTTTTTTTTACATGTGTGGTGCGCTCCGGTCATTAAAGTTGGCAAAAATGAGCCCAAGCCTGAAAACATGAGCCCAAAAGTCCCGAACTTGAAAAATAACTCAGGCTCAAATTGGCTTGAACCCAAAAAACCTTGAACCTCAAAACCCAAGCTCAAAAAAAACTCGAACTCAAGCTAAACCCCAAACTAAATTTAACCCTAAAAATAATGTACCAAATTGTAATTAATTTTTAAAAGATTTGATTATTAAATTTATTGTAATAAATTTTAATAAATTAGTTATATACTTTATATGATTTCACTAATTTTTTTAATAAATTAATTATATATTTTGCATTAATGAAATAATAAATTTATAGAAAGTGAGATTACTACACAAAAACTCTATACTATTGGTATTAGTATTTAATTTTTGTAATAACATTCCGTTGGCAATATTTTAACTTTAGATTATTGGACGATAAAGCTACTTTACACTGGATCATTTGATTCTTGGCTTGGATGATTTAGATATAACAAATATTTATGTATTATCAAATATTTATATATTACCAAGGAATATCTCTACCCACAACTGATAAAAATTTAGAAAAAAAAAGTTTAAAGTAAAAAATACATTAAAATCTTTTCAATGGAAGAGGAAAAATACGGTCTAAGAATTAAAAGCACTAAACAACTAATAAAACTAATGAATCTTGATATAAAACATTGAATTCACTGTTCTTGTAAATAGCATCAAACGGAATTATTTATAATTGTGAATATTTTAGTAAAATTTATATGTTTATTATTAAGCATGGATTTAAAATTTGAAAATATTAAATGTAATATAATATTAAACAAACCTGAACCCGAACTCGAAAAGATCCCAATCCAGAAAAGCCTGAACTCGAAAAAGAATTGAAACTGAAACAGCCCGAACCCAAAATGTTCCTACCCAAACCAACCCGATTCCCTTCCAATTGCCACCTCTAAAGTTGAGCATCGTTTCTTTCTGTTCACTACATCCATTGTTTTGTTTACATGGCTGAAGGTCCATCCAGTTATGATATGTAGAACGTGGTGTTAAGCTTTCTAATTTCTCAAGTACAAGTAGTTGATATTCAAGTTTATGAAAATCACACGGGATCTTTGTACATGCGCTTTCATTCTAGATCCATTTGCAGATTAGCATTTGTCTTATATTCTAAATTTAATATGTTCCTTCTTTGGCGAATTTCAGATAGAAGAGCACCAAAAGACTAAAGCCAGCCATTTTCAGGGCTTATACAAATGGGGGGCACATTTGGTTGTACAAGGCTTTTGACGTCTTTTATCTTTTCTCTTCAAATTACTGAACCCATCACGTTTATTCATCATTGGGACCTTCCTTGATTTCCAAGGATGAAAGCAGAAAAACGTATGAGACTGTACAGAGCAGAGTTTTGACCAAAATCTCATTTTTGTGTATTCCTCCGTTTAGGTAATCTGAGCCTGTTTAGATGTTGTACAGAATTAGGTTCATACATATGCAGGAAAATCTTTTTTTTCCTAATACAAAACTTATATGCAATGGCTACTTCAGTTGGTTAAAATGATTACCATTTTCTACCAATCTTTCTTCATGGTAGAAAAAGGAATGTTGCAGGTCCTTGTCTTAGCAGTAAAAAATCTCTTTTTATTGATATAGACAGCAAACTTATCATTTAATTTTGGCTATTAAGGAATAAAATGTTATCAGCATATGTGGCTGAAGGAGATGCGTTAAGCTCCATTTTTTTCCTTATTGTTGAAAGTTTTTATCTTTCTGGCATTTGTGATTGTTAACCATGATATCAACTATAGAGGTAATAATAAAAGGGAAAGAGCAATAAAAAAAAATGTTATTTTCTTATTTTTCTTTGATTTTTTTGGGTGGTTAGGATTGTGATTCGACCACCGGTTTGCTCCTATTTTCCTTTTTAAAAAAATGTAATTTCAGTTATAACAAAATGAAATATTCTACATTCAGAAAAAATAAATTTTGAGAAAGCAGTGGTGTATATTCTCCTAAACTTTTTGTGGATCAGGAAGCTCTCTTCTATTGATCAGTTTTGTTCTGCTCAGCAATGTTTTCTTCCTCTACCTCAAAATAAACTAAGAAAAAAAAAGCCAGAAATGTTTGATGACTGAACAAAAATTAGTAGAAGAAAAAAAAAATTCTCAAGTAAGAAAATGGCGATATTGGGAGCAAGACCAATTGGCTTTTCAAGCTTTCCATCGTCTACTTCATATCTTAGTTCCAGCTCCAGACTCGCCTCCTCTTCATTGCCTTCCACACTATCAATGGTACTTTATTACTATGTTTCAATTTTGTATAATTTTTTTACCCCTAGTTTCCCAGCAATAGTCCAATCATGCAACCATCTTTAAGCATGTGTTATTCAGTAAGTTTGGAGTTCTGAACTTCCTTTTTATCAGCAGGTTGTGGTCGGAAAATCAATTATTTCTCGCGGATGTGTCGCCTGTTCCGCTGTTCAAGAATCTTCTACTTCTACAGGTAGCTTTTCCATTCTTATCTGTGCATGTGAAAGTCCTTCCGAACTTGATGTGTTGCTTTTCTGCTATATAGCCACTACTGGAACAAACGCAACTACTCCTCCTGCGGAAGCAAAGCCATCAGCCGCCGCTGGCGGTGGTGGTGATAAGGAGGAAGCGAAGGCAGCAAAGCCCAAACCTGCTGCGAAGGCTCCTGCTAAAGCATTGCCGGAGTTGATGATGGAGGATGTCATCCCTTCATTGAAAACAATACTAGAAACTCAAGATGACATATCTGAAATTGAACTCACCTTCCAGGACAACAAGGTTTCGTTCTACTATATTTTCGCTCAAAAATTAATCCATATGAAACTTACCCGATGTGGTTTATTAATATCTTCAAACTTTACAGTTGGAAGGTTCATTCGTGAAGGAGGGGTGCCCCTACTCGTTCTGGGCCTTCTTCCCTGATGGAGTCCTTACAGGTATAATAATTTGGGCAAATTGAAAACCAGAATTTCCATTACTAAAGTAATGATCTGATCTTGTACCAAAAAAAATACTGATCTGATCATTTTCCAACCATTTGCATAGGTCCAAAAGGATTCTCCTTGTCTTCATATGGCTCGGTAGCAAGCACTGTGGAGCCGTTCCTTGTTGATGAGAAGAAAATTACAGCAAGGCATGTAGTGTTCTGGGTTGAAAAGCGTTTAGCAGCCCAAGGAATTATTCCTGTCTGGAAAGAATGATGTATACCATAAACATATTGGCATGTCACTGTTCATCATCATACAAAATTTTCCCATTCATTCCTGTTAGAAAATATTAATTATTATGTAAATCCTGAAGCTGTAATGAAAGATGGTTAAGAATGGCATTACAACTCATTTCAGCAATCATACTCCCTAAGAGCACACATGATAAAAACCTCCGTTTTACAAGAACAAAAGCTCACATCTGATACGAGAGAGATTCACATTCATCAAAAACCGTACGAGTCCAACAACATACCTCTCTCCGACTACTGTCGCATAAAAGGAACTAGAATTCCGAAGTAATATAACATTTTATAGCTTAAATAGTTCATAACGTTTTCATGAAAATTACATGTCCAAGGAGCAGATGCCCTGGACCATGCTTTACAATAAAAACATCATGTCCCAAATAAGTAAACATTTGATTTGAGTATTAATCAACACATACAAACGGGGTACTTTAGAGTGCAAAGTTCATAAAGTACTTCACAAGTCCACATCCGCACACACCACACTTTGTCTGTAGTTAGTTGTCGGTATTGGCATTCCGAATTGAACGACGTAGTTCAGCTAAGAAATCCATCTGTGAACCAGATGAAGGTGCAGTAGTGTTTGTTGGGGACATCATCTGAGGAAATAAAAAAAACAAGATAAATGCATGAGGAAAGAAGCCGCAAGATTTACAAGGAGAGGTGGGGAAGTAGGGGATGGAAGAAACCTGATGGGGAAGTCTGAAATTCCTCCAGGCTGAATCACTACTTCCAGAGTACAGAACTGGTCTTTCTGAAACAAGAACCACAGTAAGACTAAAACCATCGTTTGTGGTCCTTTAACTCAAGAAATGCAAAAGAAACTATCCACCAATACATGAGAATGACAACAAGGTCAGACATGAGGTGAAACAGAGGAAACAGAAAAATAATAAATAAATAAATAAAATATAAAAACTTGAAAGGATGCTAATATGACACTCCCAAAAGCCCCTACACAACAAGCAGAAATACATAGAACTGCTTGCGACCATAAAATCTAAAAGAAAGAGCAACTTTCAAGTCATTGAAAAATCTTTAACATCTTACTATCAGTGAAACAGAATGGGATACGAGTTAGTGGAAATTATTTTAAGAAGATTCATAACCCATGCCTGGGATGAGGAACCTTTACATATGTTTTAACAACAGATTTTATACTAAAATGATGATTCATCCTCTAGCATAGTTCAATTCTCGCTGGTTTGTGCTAAAGCTTGAATTAACTTAAAGCCCAAATTAATCCCCAATATCTTATTTCATTGGACATCTCCAATGATAATGTTGAAACTTGAAAATATGACAACCTTGTAGATGCATCAAGTCTGTTTTTTATGTTAGCTTTGTTTAAGTCTGTTAATGTTATTATTAAGTGGAAATCTGACTTAGACACGACCCGATTTAACATAATTTTCAAATTTTCACACGGTGATTCAAAATAAAGAAGCCTAATAAAATATTAATTTATTCCATTTAATAACATAAAATAAAAGTACATTTTAATTTAGTGTCATAATTTCAGTACCTTACATGCTAATTTTATATATATATATATATATATATATATATATAAACCTAGCTAATAATATTTTTTTAACCGTCCTAGCTAATAATATATAAATATATTAAAAGAATTTTTTTCCATGATTCCATCCCTATCTATACTACAGAATTTAAAAACCTGTCCATTAGAGTTGGTTTGAATGAGACTAATGAACAGCAAACTCGCTATCTTGCAGGTTTGGATTAAAGTAATAGAGACGAACTAGGTGTAGTTTGTGTCTATAATTTAGAAGTTGCTCGACTATATGCCTTACAAGCTGAGAATGGGGTTCTGTATTATGGTGCAAGACCTTTATCTAGTAGGGAAGATGTCATTCCCAAGGCAGTTTCCGTAGTAAAGAAATTGCTTCTTCAAGTTCTATGGTGAAAGTGCAATAGAAACCAACAAAGGTGACCTAAAGAAGAGTGACTTGCAGGGTTAAACACAATCCAACTTTAGTAAGGCAACACATGTTCTTTGTGGGTTTAAAGTATGTGATGCCATTATTGACAGTGGGAGTTCAGAAAATTATATCTCAATTTAGCTTGCAAAGCTCATTTACCATTCTTATCGTGTAGATAATGTACCACTACAAGGTTTTCTCCCTATAAAGGATCACAAATCCAATCAAATCAAACGTAAAATGGAAAATTTTATAAGTTTTCTATTCTTCCACTCACCAGACAAATCAATAGAAGTATCATGGTAGCGATGTAAGGCAGCTGCCCAACCTGCATTTGTAGAGATAAACAATGAACGTATATCAGCCTATGATTGTATAAATGGAGTCATGGATTCTTAAAAAGTTTAAAATTTCTATCAAAACTAACACTTGTCAAACAACAATAGAAGAGAGGAAAGTGGATTTTAACCTAAGCCCCACCCCAACTACCCTTTAACCTTCACCACTTAACCAACCAGGAAAAGTCGTCCACGAAAATAATTAGGCTTCAGCAAAAGAAGAAAAAAACCTTTCCAACCCTAGGTTGAATAATTCATCTAAATGTAATGATAAGAAAATCAATAACTCTAACTTCACATACATAACGGAATAACCAATGTTGGTGGAATTCAGAAACAGGGGCAGTCTTCTTAATAAAAGTACACAAAAATCATTCAAAGTGTGTAGAGACATCGTACGATAGCTTAAAAGCCGAGAAGCATCACTTCTAGAACAGCCTTCTAAAGGTATTAAAATAGGACGATGGAGGTCTTCATTCAGGATAGCGCTGCTCCCAGCATCCCCGACCAGATTATTGTTTCTCGATGCGGCACCTAGGTTCTTCTCTGAATCATTCCCATAAACATTATTAGTCCAATGAAACCAATCTGCAAAATTTAATTATAACTCAATTTATCAAATTAATTATTTTTTTAAATCTTCTTTAAAAATATCTATAAACCACCGGGAAATAAGGAATGATAAATAATTGATGATGAAGCTGACCTCCAGACTTATGGCGGCCGAGAGAACGGTTTCTGCAATTTCGAGGCATAATTTAAAAACATAGAAAGATAGAAACGGAAACGGAAGAGGTATAAATGAAAGAAAATGGGAAAGGATGGAAATTTAGGGTTAAGAAATTACCGTTGATTAGGAGGAGCGTAGCGTTTGATTAGAGGGGCGGCATCGGGTGCGGTGGATGTAGGATTTTCCAACATCCTCCTCTCCTCTCCTCTCCTCTCCTCTCTTATACTTTGCACCGCCGCGTAAGTATGGCGGACTGCAGATTCCGGAGGTTGATTCGCGATTGCGTCGCGGCTGGTAATTTATGGCCGACTTATTGTTCAAAAAGCGTTTCGTTAATTTTATTCGTTCATCTCCTTGCGAAAACGCACCGTTTACTACAATTTCCTAATTCTCATTCAACCCACAGCCCGCCTAAGCCATATTTATTGTTTTCTTTTCTCTTTTCTATTCTAATTTTAAATTCAACCATTTATTTTATTAGTAAAGATAATATTAAGTAGTATTAGTTAGAGATGTCAATTGCAGAAATACAAAGCGATCCCCGCCAGTCACCACGGTGACATCGACGGCAGGGAAGGCAGAGGAAGTGAATATAGGCAGCAAAAGACCATGCACGACTCCAAGCACTGATCAGGAAGAGAGAATGCTACTCAAAGGTCCCGGAGAGATATGGTTGCAGATTCTCCCTTCTTTACAGGGATGTTCTGTTGAAAGTATTGTTAAAAATGGTTTTCAAGTTTGACAACCAACTTTGAAAAATTGGTTTTCAAAGTTTGGTAAATATTTCTTTGAAAATGGTTTTCAAAGTTTGGTAAATGTTTCTTTGAAAAATAGTTTTTCAAAGTTTGATAGATGTTTGTTGAAAATGATAATGGGATAATCACAATTAATCCCTAGGCTTTAGGGTATTTACAAGATTAAATCCTTAAGTATCAACTATAAATACCCTAGCTCATTTAGCTTCAAAACCATCCCAAAAATAATTTCTTTCTTCCAATACTAGAGAGCTTTCTTGTGAGTAGTGAGTGTTTTGTAAACACCTGTAAATTTTCTCTCTTAGTAAAAGATTTGCAGCAGTCCGGAGACGTAAACAAATTGGTTGAACTCCGTTATCAATTTCGGGTACATGAATAGTGAATTTCGTGAATATTAAAATTTTGTCGGCGATACGAATTTGTCGACGGAGGTGTTCTAATACACGGCGGTTCGCGAAAATTGTCAGAACGATCCAAAGAAGCCAGATTCGAGTGGGAGCGATGGCTGCAGACGAAGGGAAGGTGAAAATTGAAAAGTTCGATGGTGCGAACTTTGGCTTTTTGAAGATGCTGATTGAAGATTTTATGTACCAGAAAAATCTATATCAACCTCTCTCAGGAAAGCAACCAGAGGGCATGAAGAATGAAGACTGGGCTCTTCTCGACAGACAAGCCCTCGGAGTTATCCGACTGACGTTATCCCACAATGTTGCTTTCAACATAGCCAAGGAAAAGACCACGGCGGGTCTTATGGCGGCTCTCTCCAGTATGTATGAGAAGCCATCGGCCTCAAACAAAGTTCATTTGGTGAGGCGATTGTTCAATTTGCGGATGACGGAAGGGGCATCGGTGGCTCAACACCTAAATAAACTCAACACAATCACAACCCAGTTGAGTTCCATAGAAATTAAATTCGATGATGAATTTTGAGCTTTAATTCTCTTATCGTCTCTACCAGACAGTTGGAATGCTACTGTTACAGTAGTCAACAGCTCGTCAGGAAACAGCAAATTAAAATTCGACGATGTTCAGGATCTGGTATTGAGTGAAGAAATTCGACGGAGAGAATCGGGTGAAGCATCAACCTCCTCAGCCTTGCACACGGAGTCCAGAGGGAGAACTTAAGAAAGAAATTCAAATCGTGGCAGATCCAAATCCAGAACGGGAAAGAAAGATTTTACCTGTTATAACTGTGGCAAGAAGGGCCACTTTAAAAAGGATTGCCGAGCACCGAAGAAAAATATCGGCACACAGGAATCTACCAACGTGACAGAGGATACAGGTGATTCCATGATTCTAAGCGTCAACAGTCCGATTGAATCATGGATCTTGGATTCATGAGCATTTTTCCACTCCACCCCATGCCGAGAAATCATGGAGAACTATGCCAGTGGTGATTTTGGGAGGGTTCATCTAGCTGATGATGAAACCTTGAAGATCATCGGAAAAGAAGACATCCGATTAAAGCTGCCAAACCAGACCACCTGGAAGCTGACAGGAGTGAGACATATTCCTGGCCTCAAAAGAAATTTGATTTCTGCAGGACAGCTTGATGGAGAAGGATATAGTACAACCTTTTCAGGCTGTGAATGGAAGATTACCGAAGGAGCACTCGTCATTGCTCGTGGTAAGAAAACTGATACTCTCTATATAACCTCAAATTTAGAGAATATCATTGCAGTAGCAGATGCTGATGGAAAATCAAACCTATGGCACCAAAGGCTTGACCATATGAGCGAGAAAGGGATGAAAACACTTTTGTCAAAGGGGAAGTTGCCGGATCTAAAGAATGTAGATGTCGGACTATGCGAGGATTGCATCTTTGGCAAACAAAAGAAAGTCAGCTTTGCAAAGATTGGTAAGACACCCAAGGCTGAAAAGTTAGAGTTGGTTCATACTGATGTATGGGGACCATCTCCAGTTCCATCTCTTGCAGGCTCATTATATTATGTCACATTCATCGATGATTCTACAAGGAGTGTGTGGGTTTATTTTCTGAAGAAAAAATCAGAAGCTTTTGATACCTTCAGAAAATGGAAGACCATGGTGGAAAATGAGAGTGGTCTAAAAGTCAAGCGGTTGAGGTCTGATAATGGAGGAGAGTACATAAATCGTAGATTCAGAGATTTCTGCGCAAATAATGGGATCAAGATGGAGACAACAGTTCCATGACACCGCAGTAGAATGGCGTAGCAGACGCATGAACAGAACTCTGAATGAACGTGCCAGAAGCATGAGGATACATGCCGGATTGCCCAAATTTCTATAGGCTGAAGCTATCAACACTGTAGCTTACTTGATCAACCGTGGGCCCTCGGTTCCTTTGGATGGCAGAATACCAGAGGAAGTTTGGAGCAAGAAAGAAATAAATCTTTCACATTTAAGAGTGTTTGATTGTATTTCTTATGTACAAATAAACTCTGCTGAAAGAAGTAAACTTGATGACAAGTCCAACAAATATGTCTTTGTTGGTTATGGTGGTGATGAGTTTGGTTACCGGTTTTGGGACTACGAAAATCGAAGATCATCAGAAGTAGAGTTGTCATTTTCAATGAGAATGTGATGTACAAAGACAGATCAACCATAGAATCAAGTAGCTCAAACATTGAAGCTGAAACAAAGGAATTTGTTGAGTTCGAGGAGATTTCTGGAAATGATGTTCAGATCAGTCCTGAAGCAGTTCAAGAAGAACCAGGCACACCGGAACTAAGACGCTCCTCCAGAATTCCTAAACCAACCCAACGGTATTCTCCTTCTTTGCAATACTTGTTGCTGACTGACAATGGTGAACCAGAGTGCTATGATGAAGCAATGCAGGTGGAGGATTCAGTCAAGTGGGAGTCTTCCATGAAAGATGAGATGGACTCGCTTATGTCAAATCAGACATGGGAATTAGCTGAATTACCACCATGCAAGAAAGCGCTCCATAACAAGTGGATTTACAGGATCAAAGAAGAGCATGATGGGAGCTAACGCTACAAAGCAAGATTGGTTGTCAAAGGTTTTCAGCAAAAAGAAGGTACTGACTACAATGAAATTTTCTCTCCAGTCATAAAACTGTCCATAATCAGACTGGTGTTGAAAATTGTAGTTGCAGAGAATTTATATCTTGAGCAGTTAGATATAAAGACAACTTTCCTTCATGGTGATTTGGAGGAAGAAATCTATATGAGGTAGCCAGAAGGCTTCATAGAGGCAGGCAAGAAAAACCTGGTATGCAGGTTGAAGAAGAGCTTGTATGGTTTAAAACAAGCTCCTAGATAGTGGTACAAGAAGTTCGATAGCTTCATGGGTAGCAGTGGTTTTACCAGATGCCAAGCAGATCATTGTTGCTACATCAAGAGGTTCGACTATAGCTTCATTATTTTATTGTTGTACGTTGATGGCATGCTCGTTGCAGGCTCAAACATGCAAGAGATTATACACTTGAAGCAAAAATTGTCGAAGCAGTTTGCTATGAAGGATCTGGGTGCTGCAAAGCAGGTTCTTGGGATAAGGATCAAGAGAGACACAAAGTCGGGGACTTTGATGTTATCACAAGCCGAGTACATCAACAAAGTACTCTCCAGGTTCAATATACAAGATGCTAAACCAGTAAGTACACCTTTAGGTGTTCATTTTAGACTCTCCAAAGAACAGTCACCAAAGACGGATGAAGAACGTGCACACATGGTGAAGGTGCCGTATGCCTCAGCAATTGGAAGTCTAATGTATGCTATGGTTTGTACTAGACCAGATATTGCTCATGCAGTGGGAGCTGTTAGCAGGTACATGAATAATCCAGGCAAGGTACACTGGGAAGCAGTCAAATGGATCCTCAAATATCTCCGTGGTACTACAAACAAAGCACTTTGTTTCAAAGGTGGAGATACAATACTGACAGGCTATGTAGATACTGACTTAGCTGGAAATGTTGACATTAGAAGGAGCACTAGAGGGTATGTCTATACTCTAAGAGGTACTGCAGTGAGTTGGGTTTCTCAACTACAGAAGATAGTTGCTCTCTCCACAACTGAAGCAGAATATGTCGCTGTTACGGAAGCCATCAAGGAGATGGTTTGGCTCCAAAGTTTCTTGGAAGAGTTAGGCAAGAAATAAGAAAACAATGTCTTGTATTGTGACAATCAAAGTGCTATCCATCTAGCAAAGAATCTGTCTTTTCATTCCAGAACAAAGCACATACAATTGTGATATCATTTTATCCGGTCTCTTCTGGAAGATGGGATTTTGAAACTTGAAAAGATTAGTGGAGCTCAAAATCCGGCAGACATGTTGACAAAGACAGTAACCACGGACAAACTGAAGTTGTGTTCAGCTTCAGTTGGCATGCTAGACTAACAAGACCAGAAATGTTGCTGCATTGATCGAGGTGTGAAGACAGATTAAAATCAGTCTTCAAGTGGGAGATTGTTGAAAGTATTGTTAAAAATGGTTTTCAAGTTTGGCAACCAACTTTGAAAAATTGGTTTTCAAAGTTTGGTAAATGTTTCTTTGAAAATGGTTTTCAAAGTTTGGTAAATGTTTCTTTGAAAAATAGTTTTTCAAAGTTTGGTAGATGTTTGTTGAAAAATGATAATGGGATAATCACAATTAATCCCTAGGTTTTAGGGTATTTACAAGATTAAGTCCTTAAGTTTCAACTATAAATACCCTAGCTCATTTAGCTTCAAAACCATCCCAAAAATCATTTCTTTTTCCCAATACTAGAGAGCTTTCTTGTGAGTAGTGAGTGTTTTGTAAACACCTGTAAATTTTCTCTCTTAGTAAAAGATCTGCAGCAGTCCGGAGACGTAAGCAAATTGGCTGAACTCCGTTATCAATTTCGGGTATTATTTTTCCGCTTTTATTTCGCATTCTCACTAATCTGGTTATAGGGAAATTACTCGTACTCGGTTTATTTACCAACATGTTCAATAGTGCAACAACAATCGAAGTTGAAGATGTTGAATCGGATGAAGAAAGCGAGCCTGAAGTTGATGGCATTCCTACAATCAAGATTGTTAAAGAAGTTAAGGAAAGAATCCGAAAACCATGGAGGAAAGTTCTCATAATAAAATTAGTGGGAAGAACAGTTGCCTACAAGACGTTAATTAGTCGGATTATTGCATTATGGAAACTAAAAAGTGACTTTGACTGTATTGATTTGGGAAACGGATTTTATGCCATAAAATTTCATATTCAAATGGATAGAATGAAGGTCTTTACTAAGGGGCCATTGAAGATTATGGATCACTACTTGACGGTGCAAAAATGGAAACCTAACTTCTTGGCTGAAAAGGCAAGTGTGTCATCTACGGCAGTTTGGGTGCATATCCCGGGTTTACCGATTGAATACTTCGATAAAAGTGTGCTAGTCCAGATCGGGAAAGCTATTGGGATACCACTAAAACTGGATTACATAACAGCTTGGACAACAAGGGGAAGATTCACAAGAATATGTGTTGAAATCGACCTTAACAAACCCCTTCTTCCCAAAGTAAGAGTTGATAACACTACCTTCAACATCGAATATGAAGGTTGACATTCAATATGTTTCTATTGTGGCTTAGTCGGGCACAAGACAGAACAATTTCCGGTGAGAATTATCAATAAAGGTCAAGAAGAAAAAGCTCAAAACGAAACTCCAACTCAAGAAACACAAGATACCTAGAATAGTTCTATTCCTAGAGCCAAAAAGAGGAGAACTCAACAAAGAATGAGAAGAACTATGGCCCATGGATGTTGGTGCAAAGAAGAGAGAGAAGGGGAAAAGGAAATATGAGAACCATGAACAAGAACTCTCAAGATCACAGAAAAAAAATAAGTTTCAACCCCTGGAGGATGAAATGGAAAACCCGAGTAATGAGGGAGAGCAAAATGAGACCAGTATAATTGTGGAGGAAGTTCAAATCAAAGGCAGCATCACACCTAGAGCTGAAGGATTTGAGACTCAAAATTATAGATACATAAGAAAAGGAGGAAAAGGAAAATTGAAAGTGAATACGAACACAAGGAATAATATAGAAGGCACTAGAAAGACTACGAACCAAAGAGTAGAGAGCAGAATCCTGTGAGACAAACTGAAACTGATCAGTTGTATAATGCAGCAGAAAGTACCAATCCCGAACCCAAGCAAACTAGAGTTGATGATATGGAAATAAAAAAACAGCAGGGTACAAATAATGGAACGACTGATCAACATATATTTTTGAATGAAGACCCTAGTACTGGCACTCTCCCAAGCACTCAAAGAGTTGCAAATCTTGACAACTATGCTAAACAGAACCTCCTGAATTTCAGGGAAAACAAAATTACAAGGCTAAGGTCCAATGAAGTTTATCTCATGGAATTGTAGAGTGGTGGGAAACCGAGAATTTATCAAAAACTGCAAAGAGATGCTGATCAGCGAAAATCCTGAAATCATTTGTTTGATAGAAAAAAAAAGCTACGACTGGTATGGGTGATGTCATTAAAAGAAAGTTAAAATTTGAGAACAGCTTTGAAGTTCCTGCCCAACGTATGCGTGGGGGGATTATTGTTTTATGGAACTCTAGTATGTCCAATTTAAAAATTCTGTATAGCATAGACCACACAATCCACTGTGAATGCCAAGAGAACAACAAAACTTAGAATACTACCTTTGTGTACGCTCAAGCCTATCCTCAAAAAAATTGGAGTGCTGAGAGGATTTGAATTTTTTTTCGAGAAATGCTAACAATCAATGGATAGTAATAGGTAATTTTAACGATATTGCAAAAATTGAGGAAAGAGAAGGAAACGACACATATTGTCTTGACAGAATTATCCTATTCAGGGAAAGATAAATGTTTCCTTATGGATGCAGACTGTACGGGTTTGAAATTCACTTGGATGAGAAGGGTTCAAGGCCAGGTGATATTACAAGAAAGGTTCGACCAGGTTCTCCACGATATTGACTCCATAGAAGCCTTTCCTAACTTTTATGTAAGGAATCTTCCAAGGACCCATTCCGATCGTAACCTTATTCTTTTAAACACTAATAAGATCATCAACATGGATAGAGAGAATAGATCTTTTAGGTTTGAGGCTTTGTGGCTCAATTATCCTGATTTCAACACAGTTTTCAATGAAGTCTAGAAGCAAAAGAAGAATAATATTGTGGAGGCGATAGCTAAAACTGAAAAAGAGAGAAAATCTTGGAAGGAGACTGCTGTAAATGATATTTTTAAGGGAAAAAAACGAAGACTTTAAAATCGTTTAAAGGGTATTCAGACTTCTAATTATTTTTATTCCAATATCTCCAAGACATGGAGAAACAGCTGCATGAGGATTGTCAAAATATCCTTAATCAAGAAGATATCTTGTGGTTGCAAAAATCAAGAATCGATTGGATGCTGAAAAGAGAAAGAAATACAAGATTCTTCCATCTAACTACTAAAACTAGGAGAAAGCGAAATAGAATAATGGGTTTGTATATAAAGGAAAATTGGTGCACGGACAAAATTATGCTCATAGATCATATTGATGACTACTACAAGAATCTGTTTACTCACAAGGAAGTGAACTCCTTAGCAGAGCCATATGACAAATTTCGACCGCAACTGACTGATAGGGAAAACATGGATCTAGTTAACGAAGTTAATTTAGAGGAAATTCGAACTGCTATTTTTTCTATAAAAAAAATTAAAAGCACCTGGATCAGATGGTATTCAACCAATTTTTTACAAGAACAGCTGGGACACAATTAAAGACACTGTTCGACAGTTTGTTAATAATGCTATAATTAGTGGAAAAGTCAACACGAGAATGATGAGCATATATATGGTTCTTATCCCCAAGCAAGATGAGGCTAATAGAACACAATTATTTAGACCTATCAGCCTCCTTAACACTTCCTATAAATTCTTGCTAAAGGTTTGGTTCAAAGGCTTGGACCTCTCCTCCAAAAAATTGTGGGGCCTTTCCAAAACAACTTTCTACCATGAAGACATACTACTGATAATATTCTTGTTGCGCAGGAGGCTGTTTACAGTCTCTCAAACCTTCAAGGAAGTAAAGGGGCAACAATCATGAAGATTGACCTCCAAAAGGCCTATTGGCAGTTTCTAAACGAGACATTGGAAAATCTTAATTTGGCCGAGAAACTGATTGAGCTAATATTATTCTGCAACAAAAATAGTTCAATTGAACCCCTATGGAATGGAGAGAAAACAAATTGTTTCACACCAGAGCAAGGGCTCACATAGGGAGACCCCTTATCCCCATACTTCTTTATCTTAATTATGGAACGTTTATCGGATATAATTTTATAAAAAAATGAAAGAAAACAATGGAAGTCTTGTAACCCCCTTAGACCAATGCGGATAACCCGATCTGATCTGGAGTGTCACATTAGGCCACCGGAGCGACCCACTATAAAAATAGCGGAAAATTTAAAACTTTTTATCAGAACATATAAACTCATAAAATCATTTATCAGTATTCAGAAATAAAATAGATTTTCATACTCGTATTTCAAACAAAATACAATTTATATCCATATAATATTCCAATAAAACAGTTCAAGTATAACTAGTGAAACATAAAACCATAGTTCATAATCCAGTAGTTCCCATGATTCCATAAATCAGAAACAATTTATATTTTCGATAAAACCATAATCGTAAATCACTTACCATGTTGACATGGTTCATAAACCAGTAAATCAATACTTGTATTAAACTCATTTCAAAACATATAAAACCGTCATGTAGTTCATATGGAACACACTAGAGTATCCACGTATTTTTCAGAGGCATTTATAGTTATCAATAAGGATAACATGAAACTTGAGCAATTTGATCAGATTCCAGGAACAAGGTCCTATTGAGGAGAATCAATTACTAGTCGATCTAACCAGACATTTAAGGTTGATACTTTAGAATCCCACTATATTTTCGTGTGCATCAGGAAAGTGTTCCAAAATGCCAGGAGTGATTTGAGCTAATAAAAGAGAAACAGAGCTTCAAGAAATACAATCCCTATTAATCGATCGATTTATCAAACAATTCAAACTGAACAACTCTCAGAACTAATGCATGTCGACCTATCAATTTATTGCCTTTCCAGGGTATTCACTCTTAAATACTAACAATTATTGTCCATAAATCATCTTCGTAATCATCGCTGGATAGATCTTCCAACGGTCTTGATTTCATTTCCATGTTTCAATGATATTAGGAAATATATACATACCTGATTCATTGTTCATGAACCACAAAGACAATTCATCATGTAAGTTCAACAGTGTTTCCAGACTCATCCCATCACTTATTTAATCCTCAGTCATTGAGGTTGCTTAGTTCATCTAATAGTCAAGTCTATCCCAGTTACTTCAGAGTTTTCCAGAGTAATTCGAACGTTTTCTGAATTTCGGATACATATTGTGCTTCCGTTTAGTTCAATTCGGTATTCGTGGTTGATTTGTCGAACAAATATCAAATTCTTAGTACTGAATGCGATCTAGAGTTGAGCTGAGCTGAATACTTCCAAAATTATCATCGATCCAACTTAAGAAAACGAACATGCATTCAAGTAATTTCTATGTCGTTCAGGTACTGACTTATTATTAAGGTTGATTTCCATAACTTTTAAGGGTAGTACAACACCCATATTTACTTGGATTCCTTAATTAATACAAAACATCTACTTAGTCTAGGTCATAAGGTATTTTGGTCATTTTGGTGCTCAATGTTATTCCCGTCATTTTAGAGCTTACGGATATCAAATCATTCTTGGGCTTGGTGATATTCTTGGGTCATTTCCATTCCAGGGGTATTTTTGTCATTTTACAGATCCAGTGTATTACAATCATTTCCTTCCGTCCTATCATATAATCAAATTCCAACTTATCATTCATTTCAGTCTTTTCGAACAATTCTGTCAAAAGAGAACCATCAATAAATTATTCTTCAAGTATTTACTCATAACTCAGAGATTTCCAAATTAAAAGTCTTTTCCAGATGTTACTAACGAATTATCAGGAATTTTCCGTACAAAAATAGGATCTCAATAACTAAATCAGTAATTTATCGATTTAATCTCAAAATCTCATGTTACTTTCTCATTCGGAGTCAACTCGAACTATTTTTATTTCTCAAGGGTATTTTCGTAATTTCATAACCAGATAATTTCGGTGTTAAACTCTTTACAAAGATAATATAATCTGGTGATCCTAAGGTTAATTACTTTCCCAAATAATCTCTAAACTTGAAATTATCTCTTATCAAACTTACAGAGTCAATTCGTGTCATTTTTACAACATAAGAGTGCGTTTGGTTCATGGAATGTAACATTACCTCCGGGAATAAGATTACCGGAATGTTACATTACCTTACACATTACTGGAAATGTTACATTATTGTGTTTGGTTTGTTTGATAGGAATGTATGATTACAGTGTTTGGTTAAAGGAATAAAAGATTGCTGGAATGCATATTTTACTAAATTGTCCTTATGATATTTTTTTAACAAGTTGAATTCCAAATATTCAAATGAAAATATTTATATAAAAATTCATAGAAAA